GGGGACCTCCCGTAGGGGGGGAGGGGGGCGCGGTGGGAGAGCCGCCACCCCCCGGGATCTGGATGAGGCCTGGGAAGGGCAGGTAAGAGATGGGAGGGGGGAAATCTGCATGGGGGACCCTCAAAAATKGGGTCAACCCCCCCCGCATGTGCCCCCCGAAACTGGGGGGGGAGGGGGCTGTGGCGCGTGTCTGGGTCCCCCCCGGACCCCTCGGGCCCCGGATGTGGGTCACCTTCTGTGTGGGGGGGTGCAGACACTGCTCCYCCACCGCTAATTTGGGGGGGAGAATGGGTCCTCTTCAGTGACCCCCGAACACCCGTGTCCCCCCAAAAGGCCGCAGGAGGCGGAGGATGTGCAACCCCCACCCCCCGACCACAGTACAGGTATGTATCACCCCTCCCAATTTTGGGGGTTCACCCCAAATTTTTGGGGTACTCCCCAATTTTGGGGATCCCCTCATTTTTGGGGATCTCCCCGAGTTTTGGGGGTCTTTCAGCCCCCCTTTCCCTCCCACAGAGCCTGACCCTGCCCCAACGTCCCCCCCGGAAGCAGAGCAGCCCCCCGCACAGGTGAGACAACAACCCTTCCTCCCCAAAATTAGGGTGCCCCCTTTCCCCAAGGAAGGGGGTACCCCACACCGTGCCTCCCCGAGACCGGGGGTACCCCAAACTGTGCCCCCCACCCCCAGGGCGCCGAGGACGAGGCGGTGGCACGGGAGCTGGAGCAGCTCTACCTGTCCCACCTGCGCCGGCTGCRGGGGGACACCGGCGACAGCGAACCCTCCCCGAGAAACGGGGACCCTCCCCTCCCCGAGAGAGCCCCCAACACGTCGCTGGCCAACGAGATGGCACTCCGCTATGAGGGGGGGGGACGGTGCAGCCCCCCGGTGCTGCTGGGGAGGGGGGGGCCGGTGGAGGGGGCTCTGGTGGTACCGGCACGGCCTCCCCGGGGACGGGGGACCAGTTTGGGGGGCGCGCTCAGGGGGTGCGGGGTGGTCCTGGCCTTGGCCGTGCTGGTGCCGGTGGCCTGGGGGGACGGAGGGGGSCCCACGGCCGCGCTGGCCTTGGGGCTCTACCTGGCACTGGCCTGGCTCACGTGAGGAGCGGGGGAGCCCAATTGTCACCACCCAAAATTGTCACCACSCAAATCGTCACAGCACCCTTCCCCCCCATTTCACCCCTGAAAACATGGGACACTCCTCAATCAGTGGAGGGGGGAGGCTGAGTTGCGGTGTGGGGTGATGGAAGGGCACCTCCAAATTGCCCCCCCGGGGGTGGGGGCACTGTCACTTTGTGGGACCCCTCCGACACTGTGTGCACCCTCCCCCCCGGGTTTTGGGGCGCCCCTATGTACATACAGCCATGGAACGATGGTGTCCCCGAGTTATTGTCATGGGGGGGCTTTGGGGGGGAAGGAAGGTTTGGAGGGTGGGGCCCATTTTGGGAGGTGGGGGCTGATTTCCTCCCCTCCCGTCGCTGTTGCAGCCATTTCCTGTCCCTGGGGAAGGTCCCAGCAAAGGTCATGGGGCCCGTGGATGGCAAACAGCCCCCCCCAAACCCCACGGAGATGGGGAGTGGGGCTTGCCTTTGGTGTCCTGTTGGTGCCTTGTGGTGACAGAAGGGTTTGCAACCAGCCGGGAGGGTCCTGAGCCCCCCTTGGAAGAATTGGAGGAGCAGGATCCTAAGTGTCCTGGGAGTAGCTTGGAGGGTCCTGAGCCCCCTTGGAAGAACGGGGTGGTGTGGGTTCTGAGTGTTCTGGGAGCAGCTGGAGGGGGGGAGCGTCCTGAACCCTCTAGGAAGAACTGGGGGGTCATCCTAAGACCCCTTGGAAGCAGTTGGGGGGTCTCAAATGTCCTGGGAACATCTAGGGGGAGTAGGGGGGTCCTGAGCAATCTGGAGATGGCCAGGAGAGGGTCCCCAACCCTCATGAACCCTCCCCTCAGTCCTCAGGCTTGGGGGGGTGGGCCCTCCCTGCCCTGGATGCAGCCAAAGGAGGGTCCTGGCACCTCAAGGTGACACTGGGGTGGTCTCAGCTCCTCAGGATTCACCATAGGGGATGTCCCGGTGCTTCAGATGACAGTTGCGGGGAGCTCTTAGCCCCCTGGACTTACTGTGGGAGTCCTGTCCCTCAGGTGACCTCAGATGGGGGTTTCAGCCTCTCTGGACTCATTGTGGAGGGTTCCCAGTCCCTCAGTTGACAACAGTTGCGTTTTCAGCCCCTCTGGACTCACTGTGGAGGGGTCTCACCCACCCCCACGGTTCCTCAGCCCCTCAGGTGACAGTAGGGGGAAGGAGGAGGGGACAGTTTCTGAAGTAGTGACATCTGAAATCACAGTGTGGGGGGTCCCGGCCCTTCTGAAGTCACTGGGGGGTGGTCCCAGTCACTCAGGTGACAGCAGGGGGGGACAGTCCTTCTGAAGTCACGGTGGGGGTGGCATCCCAGTCCCTCGGTGACAGTGGGGGGAGTCCCGTTCCCGCGATGCTCCTTCAGCCCCTCATGGCGGGGGTGGGGCGGGGCCTCTCCCCTCACGACGGGGCTCTCGCGCCGCCTGCACGTGCCCTCCTCACGCTGCGCATGCGCGAGGCTCCTCCGCCCCGCCCACCAGGCTCCCTGAGCCCGCCAAAGCGGCGCGCRCCCATTGGCTGCCTCTTTCCCGGTCGTCCCGCGTGACGGGCGTCGCCATGGCAACCGGCCAATGGGCAGCGCGCGCGTGACGAGCGGGTGGGCGGGGCTCCGGCGGCGGCAGCGCGCGCGCTTTTTCGGCCGCTGCTTCGGCCCTGGCGGGCGCCGGAGCCGCCGCCATGAGCGGGGCCGGGGCCGGGGCGGACGGGCCGTCCCCGGCCAAGCTCCGCCGCCTGGACACGCCCACCGGGAAGGGACCTGCCGCTGCCGTTACCCGCGGGGAGACGGCCCGTTCCCCCATCCCCGCCGGAGGTCGTGGTGAGGGCCGCGGCGCGCGCGCGCGGGTCGACGGGTCCGGGCATGCGCGGGGCTGTGGAAAGCGTGCGCGCGCGCCCTCTGGCGGCAGTCCGGAGATCGCGGCTTCGGCCGGGGAAGGGCTGGACAACCCCGGGGAGGGGCTGGACAGGCCCGGGGAGGGCACGGTGGGGCCGAAAACCACCGGAGAGGCCATGGGCATCCTGGAGACCACCGAGGAGGCCAAGGGGWGCCTGGATACCTCCATCACCGACTGCATGGAGCAGGAAAAAGAGGGCCTGGAGACCACTGGTGGGCTTAAAGGGAGTGTGGAGACCATCAATCAATGCAAAGGGAGCCTGGAGACCACCAGTACCGATGGCTTGCATAAAGGGTGTTTGGAGACCACCAGTGAGGCCATGGGGGATGTGGAAATTGCCGTCACACATTCCCTGGAGCAGGATGAGAGTGTCCTGGAGACTCCCATGGAATCCAATGGAAGCCTGGACACCACCGGAGAGGCCATGGGCGGTCTGGAGACCACCAGCGAGGTTACAGGGAGCCTTGGGAGCACCAATGGGCGCAAAGGGAGCCTGGAGACAGCCGTCACTCGCTGCTTGGAGCAAGGGAGAAGGAGCAAGGAAGGCCTGGAGACAGCCAGCAAGATCCTGGAGAGCACGGAGAATGATGCTTCCCCTGGTGGGGGCCTGAAAAACACCAGCAGGCGCAAGGGGAAGACCCCTGTGAGGCCCAAGGGGAGTGTGGAGACTGCTGGTACCCAGTGCTTGGATTGGGAGGGGAAGGGGGGCCTGGAGACCACCAGYGAAGTCTTGGTGGGCACAGAGACCACCAGGGAGGACACAGAGAGCCTGGAGACCACCATCATTGGCCACGTGAAGCGGAACAGAGAGCAGAAAGGGGGCCTGGAGACCACCACGGAGCCCGAGGAGGGCCTGGAGCCCACCCCCACAGCCTGTGTGGGGCARAGCCGGGGTGGCCCTGGGCTCCCAGACCTCGTGGGGGTCCCAGAACCCGCGGGGGTCCCGGTTCCCAAGGAGCAGGTGGCCGAGGAGAGCGCGGTGATCTCCCTGGGCGAGGATGAAGACGAKGAGGAGGAGGAGGAGCGGGAYGAAGGGCCGGCGCGGTACCTGGCRGCRYTGGAGGCCGTGCAGCTGGAGCTGGAGGCCGTGGAGGAGGAGGCAGCTCGAGCCTTCCGCCGTCTCCGCACCCGCTTCTGCCTCCGCCGCCGGCCACACCTGCAGCGCCGCAACCGCCTCATCCAGCACATCCCCGGCTTCTGGGTCACCGCCGTATCCTTGGGGGGCTGCGATTTGGGGTGGGGGGGACACGTGGGAACCTCCAGATCCATCTTTCCTTGACCCCCCTGTTCCCAGTTYCTGAACCACCCGCAGCTCTCGGCCATGATCAGCGACCGCGACGAGGATGCGCTGAGCTACATGACGAGTTTGCAGGTACCTGGATGGGGTTTTTGGGGAAGGGGGAGCTTTGGGGAGGTGTGCCCCTTGAGGTAACACACCAGGACCCACAGGTGGAGGAGTTCGGCCAGAGCCGCCCCGGGTGCCGCATCCGGTTCTTCTTCAGCGTCAACCCGTATTTCCAGAACGATGTCGTGGCCAAGGAGTTCATACGCGGCCCCTCCGGTGAGTGATGGGGGCAGGGGGGAACCCCCACTTCCTACAGCCCGGGTGAGGGCTTTTGGGGGGGCCGGAGTGACCCTCCCATGTGTTCATCCCCCCAGGTCACCTGGTGTCCCACTCGACCCCGATCCGGTGGTGGCAGGGGCAGGACCCCCGTTCTCGCCCCAACAAGGGCACCCCAGCCCCCCGCAGCTTCTTCGCGTGGTTTGGGGACCACAGTTTCCCTGCGGGGGACCGTGTGGCTGAGGTGAGCCCYGTGCTCCCAGTAACCCCTCCCWGTRCTCCCAGTACCMCCCTGACCCCATCATCTYCTCCTCCAGATTATCAAGGAGGAGCTTTGGCCCAACCCACTCCAGTTCTACCTGCTGGGGGAGGGCGCTGAGGGACCCCCTGACAGGTGAGCTGCACCCCGGTGGGGGGGCTGGGGGCACCCTGGGGGTCTKGGGGGGAACCCCAAAGTTTTATCCCCCCCATTAACCCTTCCCCAGTGAGAGTGGCGAGGACTGTGTGGTGATCCTGGATGACGAYGAGGATGTGCAGGAGATCCCGGACGATGGGGACGGTAAGTGACCATCCCMACCACCCTGTGGAGACCCCAAAACTCCTCACCCGAGGAAATGGGGGGCTGTGACCCCCCCAAAGTCCTCCTGGAAGGAGAGAAGAGGCTCATTTTGTGCTTTCTGACACCTGTCCCCAGGCAGTGGCGTCGAAGAGGTCCCAACTGAGGAGCCCCCCAACCCCCCCGTGGGACAGAAAGACTCCAACAGGGGCAGAATCTAATTGGGGGTGGAATTTGGGGGTGCTGCACATCTCCTCCCCCTCTGTCCCCCCCAGCATTGCGGGTAATGAGGGGCTGGGGGCCCCCAACACAGCTCAGGGTGTTTGAAGGCCTTTCAATCCCCCCCCTTCCCCCCAAACCTTTCATGACCCCCTCCCAGGGACCCCCAATCTCCCCAGCTCCATCACCTGGGGGGTGGGGGGGGGTCCCCCCAAATCCCTCCCCAAGACACACCACCCACCAGGGAAAAAAAACAACCATTTCCTGACCATTTTTGTACATTTTGGGTTAAAAACTTGTAAAATTTTCTTTTTTTATCTAAAAATATATTATAATAAAGAGAAAGTTTTAACAGAGTCACAAAGTCTTCCCTTGAACCACAACACCCTCAGGTGATCCGAGGGCAGATTTCAGGGTGATTTTACTCCACTGGGTCATTCTCCTCCTCGCCTGCCACCGGTTTTGGGGTGAGGGGCTCCCCTGACTCTGGGGGGACCCTCGCAGGGTCCTGGGCTGGGGGGAACTGGACACCGAGGGTCTGGAGGGTCCCCAGGAGCTGCTCCCGCGCGTCACCAGCGAATCGGTTCTGCAGGAACGCCGGGAGCCCCACCCCGAGGGGGACCCGCACCAGCCCCTGCACCTRGGAGAGAGGGAGGGAGACCCCCAAAGTGCCGGGGAACCCCACGAGTGCTCCAGTGCCCCCCAGCCCCACAAAGAGGGGGAAGCACCCACATCGAGTTCCTTCCTTCTCCCCCGTAGTGTCTCCTCCCAGGTGCTGGTACCGACCTCCCCATCAGACCCCCCAACTCCAACGGAACCCGTTGGGTCCTCAAACACTCCATGGCCCCCAGTGCCGATTCCCCCCGAATCTGCCCTGGTACCCCTAGAACCCCTCACAGTGAAGCCTCCGTCTTAGATCTCCTCAGGTACCGGTCACACCCCCCAAGTACCAATTCTCCTCAGTACGCATTACCTCACTCCCGTTTCCAGACCCGTCCTCAGTTTACTCCCGGTGCAAATCTCCCTCTCAACCCCGCCGCTCCAAGTGACTGCCCCCATTTCCATCCCGTTCCCGGTGCTCCCTCCCGTGCTCCTATCTTCCCGTTCCCGCTGCCCCTCTCTCTCCTCCCGCCCCCAATTTCCATCCCGTTCCCGGTGCCCCCCCCTACCTCCAGCCCGTGCTCGGGCGCTCTGGCCCCGCCCCTTTCGAGCGCCTCCAGCTCGTCCAATCGCAGCGGCTTCACGTACAGGTGCGTCACGAGCCCGCCGTCACTTCCGGCCCCGCCCCCCGGCCAGACGCGCGCCCCTCGGTGGTGCCGCGGCCGGAGCTGAAGCGTGGCCGCCGCCGGGCCCAGCTCCTCCCGCAGCTCCCGCTCCAGCGCCKCCTCCAGCGACTCCCCGGGATCSACCAGCCCTCCCGGGAACCCGAACCGCCCATCAAACCGCAGCTGCATCTGCGGGGTCGCGGGGGGAATCAGCGGCGGGGAAACGTCCTCCGCTCCGGGCCGGGCCCGCTCCACCGCCCCCGTACGCACCAGCACGGCGTGTCCCGGCGGCGGGGCCCCGGCGGGCAGCGGGGCGTGCAGCAGCACATGGCAGGCATGACGCCAGCCCGCCCCCTGCTCCGTTCCCCCATCCCCGGTCCCGCTCCGGTCCTGATCCCGGCCCAGGCCCAGCGCCTCCGCCCGGCTCAGCAGCGGCGGCTGCTCCTCCCCGCYTTCCCGCATGGTGGCGCCGCAACTGCGCGTCTCCGCCAATCAGCGGGCAGGACTTGACGGGGGGCCACGCCCCCGCCAATCAGTGGTGAGGGATCAGAGCAGGCCACGCCCCCCACGTGGATCCCACCCAGCGGCAGCGAGGGGCGTGGTCAATGAGGGCGTGATCGATCGATGCCCCGCCCCCAGCCCATTTCCCCAAAATCCCGGGGGAAGGGGGTGAGATCCCCCTTGATATCCCCGACACCCCCGTATTATCCCCAAAAAGCCACGAAAACCCTCACATGAGGGCCACACACACAGACACAGCACAGACTGGAGAGGGAGGGGCTTTATTGACCCCACCAAGCACCAAAAGGGGTCCCTGGGGACTCCCAGCAGTCTGGGGGTCCCCAGGAGGGTCCCAGGGATTTGGGGGGGTCCCGGGGGTCCCTATGAAGCAGAGTCAGAGGCCTCGGAGCTGTCCTTGACGTCGGTGCTCTCGGTGGTCTCGCTCACCTCGCTGACGTCTTTGCTGTCGCCTCCCCCATCCTCGTGGTGGTGGGGSCCGGTGGGGGTGTGTGAGGGGGGTCCCCCCGAACCGCAGACCCCGTCCCCACCCCGGGAGGGCTCGGTGGGGACTGGGGGGCGGCCCCGCTCCTTCTGCTCCACCTGCTTCCGCAGCTGTGGGGGAAAAGGGGGTTACTGGGGGAAAAGAGGCTTGGAAGGGCCCTGGGAGTGGGGGGGATGCCCCCCCAAAAGGGTTTGGGGGATCCTGGGGACTCTACCTCATCTGCCATTTGRGTGAGGTCCCGCTTCATGGCGTAGGCATCCTCCCCATCTGCGTAGTACTTGGGCTCMACCTCGCTGATCCTGGGGGGCCACGACACAGGGGGGGTGATTTGGGGGTCTCACACATCGGGTGGGGGTGTTTTGGGTTGGGGGAGGGACACAGAATGGGATGTTTTTGGGGTGGCCCCAAAGTCTGCCCCCACTTTTGTCTCCTTATGGGGTTAAACTCTCCCAAAGCTGCTTTAACCCCCCCCTCAATATGTCAGCAGCCCCCAACCCAAACACCCTCCAAACCCCCCTCAGCCCCCACCAGTTCCTACTGCAGCTCCCCCAAACCCCCTTTACCCTTCCCGGACTCACTGGAAGTTGAGGGTGTTGGAGTAGAGGTGCAGAGCTGCCCGGTTGCTACCAAGGACAAACAGAAAGGTTATTCTGGGGGGTGTTCCTTGGAGTCTGGGGTCTCCCCGGGGGGGTTTGGGGGGGTCTCACCTCTTACGGACGTGCAGGGACACATATTTGGCGTTGAAGTTCTCGATCATGGCCCGGGATGCCTGGTCCATGAGCTTCTGTGCCAGCCCCAAGCGCCGGTGCGAGCGTTTCACTGCCTGGGTGGGCACCGAAATGGGCTGGGACACCCCAAAAACCCCTGGGAGACCCCCAAAACTCCTCAGGGGACCCAAAAAGCAATCAGGGATACCCCAAAAACTCCAAGGACACCCCTGAACCCCCCCAGGGACTCACGGGAACATTTCATCACCTGGGGCAGGGGCTAAAATCAGGTGGGAGACCCCAAGAAATCCCAGGGAAACCTGGAAACCAACCCAGTGGAAGTGKTTTACCACCTGCAGATCCCCAAACAGGCTGGGGGGCATCCCAAACCCACCAAAGACATCCCAAAAAACAAAGGGGCACCCCAAAAACTACCCCACACCCCCAGATCCTGGTTCCTAAAAGGCCCCAAAGCCTCAGWGAGCCCCCCAAAGCCCTTAAAGAGCCACAGGACCCTCCAAGGGCACTGCAAGACCCCTCAAGCAAGCTTAAAGTGCACCCTAAGTGCTCAGACCCTGTCCAAGAGCCTCCAAAACCCATCAAGTGAACCTAAAGATCCCCAAGGAGCACCCCCAAACCCTCTGACCTATTTCAAGAGCACCCCAAACCCCCACCCTGCCCTACCAGGGATGTGATGTGTCCATGCGGGACRTCATCGGGATCCTCCTCCCTGCAGAAGCACAAGGGGAGGGGATGAGCGGGGGGTGGGGGGTGAGATCCCCAAATCCCATCGGGAATACCCCCCCCGACCCTCCCAAACCCCAGGAGAAGGGGGGAAGCGCCCCCCCACCCCACACTCACATCTTGGCCAGGACRTATCCCACAATCTTCCCGTTCTCATCCTCAGCGATGTAGGAGAGCTGGGGGGGAGAGAAGGGGGCCAGGTGACTCTGGGGGCCAATTCCAGGGGTCCCTGGGGGTGGGGGATCCAGGGATTCGGGGCAGAGGCAAATTCCAAGTGTCCCTAATTGGGGCGGGTAAGGATCCAGGGGTTCCTGGGGGAAAGATCCAGGTGGGGGGAAATCCAGGGGGAGGGAGATTCCAAGTGCTCCAGAGAGGTGTTGAGGACCCCAGTGAGGGGAAAGGCCATGGTGGGTGGTGATCTGAGGGTTCCAGAGGGCACCCAGATGGCTCAAACGGAAATTGAGGGGCTCCTGGGGGGTGATGGGGTCCCATTGGGAACGAGGGTCCAGTTGTTCCAGGGGGAGACTGAGGGAAGCCTGGGGGGAAATCCCGGGGACAGGGAGGTGTTAGATCCAGATGTCTGGAAGGGGATCCAGGTGTTCCAGGGGGGAATTCAGGGATCTCCGGGGGAAGGGAGCCAGGTGTGTTCTGGGGCGGATCCAGGGCCGCACCTGAGGCCAGGAGAGGCCGTGGTAGAAGTAATATTTCATCTGGTAGTTCTCGGGCAGGCAGAGCAGRTTGCAGTGCTGCATGTTCATCAGGTCCTCGGGCTGCCGGGGAGCCGGGAGTCAGCGCGGGGGCGGCCCCGGGGGGCGGGGGATCACCCCGAAACCGGCCCTGGTGCTGCCCAACACGGGGGGGTTCTCTCAGACCCCCTCCAGGGCACAAGACACACCTCAGAGCCCCGCAGGACCCCCGTTCCCCCTCCCCGAGATCCGGTACTGCCATTCAGAGCCCCTTAAGCGCCCGATACCCTCCTCAGACACTCCACGGGACTCCGGTACCCCCTCTCCGAAGCCCGGTATCCCTCTCAGACCCACCCTAAGATCCCGGTTCCCCCTCTTTGAGGGCCGGTAAAGAACCTGCCGGAGCCCTGACCCCAATTCAGATCCCTCATGAGATCCCAGTTCCTCCTGCCCAGGGTCCGTTGTCCCCCTCGGACCCCTCCCAGAGCCCGATGGTCCCCTCAGACCTCCCCGCCAGGGCCCGGTATCCCCGACAGATCCCTCCCCGGTCTCCGGCTCCCACTCGCCAAGCCCCGGCTGAGCCCCCCTGAGCCCCCAGGCCGCACACCCGCGCGTTCCGGATGTTCATGGCTGCGGCTGCTCGGTGTCGATCGCGTTTCSTGATCCTGTTCCTGCTCCCGGTGCCGGTTYCGTTCCCGGTCCCGATCCTGGTCCCGGTCCCCTCACGAGCCGCTTCCGGCGGAAGTTCCTCTCCGACCAATCAGCACTGAGCCCGCCCTCCCGCTCGTGCCACTCCGCTCGCGGTGTATTGACAGGCACGTCAGCCAATCAACGAATGAAGGGAGGTTGCCAGGCCCCGCCCCGCTCACTCCCTTTGCCCTCAGCCAATCAGAAGCGAGTTCCGCGCGTGCCTCGGCGCGCTCCAGGCGGGGGTGGGTTTTTCCCGCTCCCCCCCCCTTCGCCACCCAATCACGTCTGGCGATGCTGATGATTGACAGTGGCAAGAGCCAATGGGAACAGAGGGAAGGCGGGGCAGCGCAGAGCTCAGAGGCCGCGTGGGCGAACACGCTTTATTGCGATGGGGGAGGGGCTCGGGGGAGGGACGGGGGGTCCCGGGGGGGTCTCACGGAGGTTCCCACGCTCGGGGGCCTCGGGACGGGCCCCCCACACCTGAGCAGGGCCCTCATCCCATCTTCCCGGGGGGCCTCATGGTCACATTCGTGGAGTTTGTCCCCAAATCCCAGGGTGTCGCCACTCATGTGCTGTCCCCACTCATGTGGTGTCCCAATTCGGGTCGGGGGTTATGTCCACTCGGGGGGAAATTGTGTCCACTCAGGAGAGAGTGTCCCCACTCATATGGTGYCCCCAGTCCTTGTCCCCGCAGTGTTCCCATCCTGGAGTGTCCCCGGAGAGCGTCCAGCCACAGTGTCCATCCCTGCTCTCCAACCCCAGCGTGGCCGCTCCCCACCACCAAATTCGGGGAGGGGATCCCCCAGACTCAGGGCTGCATGCGCAGGGCCCCGTCCAGCCTCACCACCTCCCCRTTGATCATGGGGTTTTCGGCCAGGGCCTGCACAAGGTGGGCGTATTCAGCAGGGTCCCCCAGGCGGGACGGGAAAGGCACTTGTTGTCCCAAAAAGTTCCGGACCTTCTCTGGCAAACCGGCCAGCAGCGGGGTGGAGAACAGCCCTGGGGAACCCCAAAGACAGGGGGTGAATCGAGGAACTCACCCATCTCACCTCCCCACCCAGGTGCCCCCATGACCCTACCTGGGGCAATGGTCACCACACGGATGCCCAGCGGGGCCAGGTCCCGGGCGATGGGCAGGGTCATGCCCACGATGCCGCCCTTGGAGGCCGAGTAGGCCGCTTGACCCACCTGTGGGGAGGACATGTGGTCATTGCGGGGTCCCCTGACTCCCCTGGTGGCTCCTGAGATCCSTGATGTTCCTCACCTGTCCCTCAAAGGCGGCCACACTGGCGGTGTTGACCACGAGCCCACGGTGGCCGTCGGCGTCGGGCTTGTTCTGGCTCATCATCTGCGCACTGAGGCGGATCACRTTGAAGGTCCCCACCAAGTTCACCTGGGGAGGGAGAGGGGTTTGGGGAGGGTCTTGTGGGCACCACCAAACCCTGCTGATACTCCCACAGCCTCCTGTGCTGTCCTGGAAACACCTGTGACCCCCAAAGTCCCCATACCCACAGCCACCCCACTGATCAGGGACAGCCTGAAAACATCAACACCCCATTGACCAGGACCCCCCACATTCACCCCACTGACCAGGGAGATCCCATGTCCACCCCATTGTCCAGTGACCCCCAGTTCCATTGTCCAGGGACCTCCAGGCCCCACACTCACGTTGATGACCCTCTGGAAATCCTCCAGGTCATGCACTTTGTCCTTCTTGCTGTTGTAGGTTTTGACAGCGATGCCAATGCCAGCACAATTCACRGCCAGGTCCAGGCGCCCAAATTTCTTCTGGGCCACGGCCAGCGCCTCCCCCACCTCCTTGGGAGAGGTCACCTGGGGGCAAAGGAGCCACTGAGGGGGGTGTCACCACTGGGGTCATGGTGGGACATCACTGGTGGAGTTAAGGTGGGATGGCAGCATTGGGGCTAATGTGGGACATCACCAGTGGGGTCAAGGTGGTCCCRTATCAAGGGGGARTCATCAAAGCAGCCCCCATCTCCTCAGCTGAGGTCACCCGGGGACAAGAGGCCCATGTCRAGGGGTCAAGGTGGGATGTCACCCRCAAGGTCAAGGTCACCCCCARCTCCTCTGCCAAGGTCACCTCCAGGGTCAAGGTGGCCCCAAATTGAGGGCAGGGATGTCACCAGTGGGGTCAAGGTGGTCYCAACCCCYTCAGCCAAGGCCACCTGTGGGGTCAAGGGGGYCCCACATCAAGGTGAGATGTCACCTGAGGTGTCAAAGGTCACCAGTGAAGTCAAGGTGGCCCCACATTTTRGGGGAATGTCAACAATGGGGGTCAACCTGGCCCCACATCAAGGTGGGCTGCCACAGGTGGGGTGAAGGTGGCCCCGTGTTGGGGTCAGGGTTAGGTTTCATCCACATCACCGCTGGATGCAGGGGGGGAGAAGCCCCCGCAGCCCCCCAGTGCTCACATCGGCCGGGGCGAAGGCGCAGTGGTCGCCCAGCTCCTGGGCCAGCTGGCCCCCGTTGGACGTGGGCAGGTCCAGCAGCACCACCCGCGCCTCGCGCTGCACCAGCCGCTCCACCGTTGCCCGGCCCAGCCCGGAGCCGCCGCCGGTCACCAGCGCCACCAGGCCCTGGGAAGGGGGAGAGAAGGGGGTCAGCGAGGAGGGGAGACCCCCGCACACATCCCCGGGGTCCGCGGGGTCCGGGGGGGTCCCGGTACCTTCACGCTGCGAATCGCCGCCATCGCCGCCGTCCGGCCAATGCCCGCGGGGGGCGGCACCGGGGAGGAGCGGGGAGGGACGGGGGAGGGACCGGGGAGGGACCGGGGAGGGACCGGGGGGACACCAGGGGAGAGACTCAGCGGAGGGACCGGGGGAGGACCCAGGGGGACACCGGGGGATGGACAAAGAAGGAACCGAGGGAGGGACGGGGAAGGACCTGGGGGACACCGGGGGAGGGACCGGGGGTTGGGCCAAAGGAGGGTTCGGGGGTGGGACCAGGGGAGAACCTGGGGGGACGCCGAGGGAGAGAGGGGGAGGGATCAAGGGAGGGACCGGGGGAGGGACCGGGCGGGGCGGGGGGACACGAGTGGGGAATCCCGGGGGGAGGGGATCTGGATAAGGGGGTTCTCCAGCCCGAGGGAGGAGGGCCATAGAGACCCCCCGAAAGGGATGGGGGGCGTCACGGAGGAATTGAGGGTCCCGCAGACCGGCGGGGGTCAGGGGTGTCCGGAGGGGTCCCATGTGCCCCCTTTGCGGGGGTCCCGATCCCTTTTTCCTCCTCATCCCCTAGAGGGGGAAATTGGGACCCCCACAGTGATAGGATTGAGACATTCAAGGGGAAGGAGACCGGGACCCCAAAGAAACAAGATGGGGACCCCTGAGGGGACAAGATCCGGTTCCCCAGAGTGGAATTGGGACTCCCAAGGGGACAGTTCCAGCGCCACCAAGGAGTCCGTATCGGGACCCCAGGGAGGACAAGATCGCCCGGGAGGGGGGGATCACGACTCTAAGGGAACAAGGATTGAGACCCCCATGGGGAACGGGACCAGGACCCCCAGGGGGACAAGGCTGAGCCACCAGGGTGACAGGGTCAAGTACCTTTGGGGGGGCCCCACTGGCCCCCCCCTTACCCCCCGGTCCCTCCCAGCCCGGCCAGCAGCCAGGGTATAACGTTACCTCCGACCTTCCCGGGGGGCACCGGCAGCACCCGCCTGCCCCCCCACCCCAAAAATGGAGGAGAAATCACCCAAAATCCCAGGTAAAAGGGACAGAGGGTGAATTCCGAGGGGGTGGGACAGCGAGGGTGGCCGCGGGGACACTGACCGGGGGCGGGGGAAGAGGCAGGGACATGGCGGCAGAATCGGAGCGGCTGACAAGGACCCCTCCCCGGAAAATAACGTRGGTGGCCCTTTGCACCCCTCGAGTGAGACGGGGATGTAAGTGGGGACCGGGGGAATTGGAGGGGGGGTACCAGATATGTACCCCGAGGGGCAAAAATTCCCCCCCAAGACTCCCCTACGGCTGCATTGAGGGGGGATTYTCCCCCTTCAGGGCAGGTGGTTCTACCCTAGCTGGGGGTCCAGGAGGGATTTGGGGGTGCAAACTCAATTGGGGAGGCCTGGGGAGGGGTAACAATGCTGTAACAMCCCCCTCCCCAAAATCCACCCCCAGCCTCCGTGCCCCAGTTCACCAACTGCCCCACCATGGTGATCCTGGTGGGGTTACCTGCCCGCGGCAAGACCTACATCTCCCGAAAACTCACCCGCTACCTGAACTGGATCGGCACCCCGACACGGGGTGAGTGCTTTTGGGGTGCGCGAGGGGGGGGTGTGAAAGTTTTGGGGACCCCTCCCCCCGATCCCACTCTCCCCCGATCCCTCTGCAGTGTTCAACGTGGGCGAGTACAGGCGGGAAGCCGTCCCCAGATACGAGAACTACGAGTTCTTCCGTCACGATAACCCCGAGGGGATGGAAATCCGCAGGTTAGGGGGGAAAGTTGCGGCCGCGGGGGCATTTTTGGGGTGCATTTTGGGGGGCCAGAGCTGAGAGAGACATCGCCCCCTCCCCAAATTCCCAGGCACTGCGCACTGGCCGCCCTTAAGGACGTCCACACCTACCTGAGTTCTGAGGAGGGGCAGGTGGCGGTAAGAGACCCCCACCCAAAAAAAAACATTAACCCCCTAGGAGAAAAAAATTCCCCCCCCCAAATATTTGGGGGGCATGTCATATTTCACCCCCAATCCCCCCAGGTTTTTGATGCCACCAACACGACGCGGGAACGTCGGGCTGTGATCCTGCAGTTTGCCAAGGAAAACGGGTACAAGGTATAATTTGGGGGACCATTGGGGGGGGCACGAGGTATTTTTGGGGAATTTATAGCCTTAGGGGGTGGCAGTGCTGCTTGGAGGGGGCTAGAGCACACTGGGAAGGTAGCACTGTTTTTGGGGGTGTCCACAGGATGAAGGGGGGTGACAATGTTGGGGGGAGTGACACTGGTTTAGGGACATCCACAGTATGGAGAAGTGGCACTGATTTGGGGGTGCCCACAGCGTGGGTGGGGTGGTGACACTGATTTGGTGGTGTTACAGCATGGGCGCATGGCACTGATTAGGGCACTGATATGGGGGAACAGTTGCAGTGATTTGGAGGTGTCACAGCATGAGGTGTTGATGATTTTGGGGTGCTCACAGCATAGTGAAGGCAGTAACTTTGGAGGGATTTGCACTGTTTTGGGGGTGGTGCACATTATGGGGGGAGGTGGGCAATGACACAATTTTGAAGTGCCCACAATATGGGCACTGCTTTGGGGGTATCACAGCACAGGGGGATTTGAAAGAATACACAATATGGGGGATGGTGGCACTGTGACACTGCTTTGGAGCCACCAGACCCCCTCCTTTTCCCCTCCCTGCCAGGTTCTGTTTGTCGAGTCCATTTGTGATGACCCCGCCATCATTGAGGAGAACATCAAGGTGAGACCCTGGGCGGGGGTGTGACARCAGGAACCTGGAGGTGACAACAGGGGCTGGGGGTGTGTGCAAAGCTGTGTGTGCCCCCCACAAAAGCTGTGCCCTCCAATTCCCCCAGCAAGTGAAGCTGAGCAGCCCCGACTACAAGGGCCGTGCACAGGAGGAGGCCGTGGCCGACTTCCTGAAGCGCATTGAGTGCTACAAGACCACCTACGAGCCCCTGGACGACGAGCTGGACAGGTGACCCCCACCCCACATCCCACTCCACGAGGCCTGGGGACCCCTCTTGCCCTGACTGTGGTCCCCCTGCCCCTCCAGTGGGCTGTCCTACATCAAGATCTTCGACGTGGGGTTGCGGTACCTGGCGAACCGGGTGCAGGGCCACGTGCAGAGCCGCACCGTCTATTACCTGATGAACATCCACGTCACGCCCCGCACCATCTACCTGAGCCGCCACGGCGAGAGCCAGCTCAACCTGCAGGGACGCATCGGTGGCGACTCGGGGCTGTCCCCCCGTGGGCACCAGGTGGGGCTGGGGGGAACAGGTGGGGTGTGGGGTGGGGCTAAAGGAGGCCACCCCAGGCTAAAAGAGTCACCCCAGGTGATAACGGCGTTCAGACCACACCCTCAAAAGGGGCATGCCTTCACCTAACCACACACCATCCAGTCCATATACAGGTGTGGCAATAAAGGGTGGGTCCAGGGAAGCAAGCCATGCCCGCTGGACAGAGCCTTAGGCCTTGCCCTGTGCAAGAAACTTAGAAAGACACACCCATAAAGGGGCAGGCTTAGGCCACACCTCAATGTTCCCCCATCCCTTACTATGGGGTGAGGGCTGTGCCCAAGGGACAGGGCCAGGAAAAGCCACACCCAGTGGCTAAACCCTTATCCCCACCCCTCCCAGTATGCCCAGGCGCTGGCCCAGTTCATCCGCAGCCAGAACATCCGGGAGCTGAAGGTGTGGACCAGCCACATGAAACGCACCATCGAGACGGCCGAGGCGCTGGGRGTGCCCTACGAACAGTGGAAAGCCCTCAATGAGATCGATGCAGTGAGCCACGCCCCCTTTTTGGGGAGGGGGGGACAGCCCAAAGCCCCYCTCAAACTCCCAACGCCCCTGTCCCATAGGGGGTCTGTGAGGAGATGACCTACGAGGAGATCCAGGAGCGTTACCCCAAGGAGTTCGCGCTGCGGGACCAGGACAAGTACCGCTACCGCTACCCCAAGGGCGAGGTATCCCCAAAACCTCCGTGGGACACTTGGGGGAGGCAGGGTTTTGGGGACCCACCCTGACTCCCCTCCCCAGTCCTACGAGGACCTGGTGCAGCGGCTGGAGCCCGTCATCATGGAGCTGGAGCGGCAGGAGAATGTCCTGGTCATCTGCCACCAGGCTGTCATGCGCTGCCTGCTGGCCTATTTCCTGGACAAGAGTGCGGGTGAGGCCTTGGGGACAGTCTGGGGACAACTGGGGACACCCCAGAGCTGCTGTGCCCCTCTCACTCTCTTAAACCCTCCTCAGATGAGCTGCCCTACCTCAAGTGCCCCCTGCACACAGTGCTAAAGCTGACCCCTGTGGCCTATGGTGAGTTAGGGTGGTGTTTCCCTGAAAAGTGGACTGTCCATCCGCAGTGTCCCGGCACAAAGAGGGGACAATCACCCCCCAAAAGGGGACCTCCTGTGTCCTCTGCAGCCTCTTATCTAGATGCTGAGGGGGGGTCTGGTGTCCCAGCCCAAAATGAGGACAATTTTCCCCAAGAGAAGACCATAGCCCCCCCCAGTGTCCCTCCCCAAAATGGGGATAATCCCCCCCGAAGTCCCCCCCCAGCTGCAGCCAGGTCWCTTTTTCCCTGGGAACCAGGGTGTGAGGTCGAGTCCATCTTCCTCAACATCGAGGCAGTGAACACCCACCGGGAACGACCCCAGGTGAGAGCCCCCACCCCCAAATCCACCCCAAAAAGAGGGTGCAGACCTCACTGATCCCCTCAAAGATTGGGAGGGGTTAGATTTGGGTGAGACCCCCAAAACCCCACATCTTCACCCCACAGAACGTCGACATCAACCGCACCGCAGCYGATGCCCTGAACACCGTTCCTGAGCACTTCTGAGGGGTCCTCAGGGGACAAGGGGGGGCCTCCCCTAAATTAAACCTTGTACACAAAGCACTGAGCGTGGAGATAGAAAGGCTGCACATCAACAGATGCCTTTATTTTGGGAACTCAGGAGGCAGCTTCAGCCTCGGCCTCTTTGTTCTGGCTCACCCAGAATGTGGGGTCCTTCCCCTGGATCTGGGTGGGAGAAAAAGGGGAGGGGTGTGATTAATATAGTCCTGGAGATGCTCAAAACCCGGAGATATCCCCCAACACGGCCTCACCTTTGCCACAAATTTCAGCACATCCTTCTTKGAGGTCTCCTTTTCCGCCCGTGGCCCCCACTGGAACTTGAATTCAGGAGGGTCTGTCAGGGGTATGGGGGTAACATCCAGGTACCTGCAAAGGAGTGGGTGGTGAATGCTCCCAGCAGGTTTTGAGGTCCACAAAGGGGTGTCCAGCACTCCCCAGCCCCATGAGGAACCCTCGAGCCATGGGGCTTTGGGCTGCGGGTTTTGCTCTGCGGTGTGGTATAAACAGCCTGGCCAAGGCTGGCGCCAGGGCCGCTCTGGGCACACCGGGAGGGACAAGGGAACCCCACCCCAAACTATCCCCCAGGACTCCTCAACTCACTTCTGCCGAGCAAACTCATCCATCAGCAGTTTCCGGACATCCCCAAACACCTTGTGTGGCTTCCTGAGGACAGGGGTTAGTGAGGGGTGGCGCTGAACAGCCCTATCCCCCCCATTCCCTGTGTGTCCCCCATATCCTACCCTGGGTGCACACGGAGCAGACGCAGGAATTCCCACAAGGYAGCTGGAAAAGGCTGTGTAAGTGTGAGGTGGAAAGGGAAAGAGAGGTATGGGGGGTTTTGGGGGAGGACTCACTGTCTTTGACTGAGTTTCCCTTCATGAAGATGAAGCTGAGGACAACTAAGAGGAGCCCCATCTTCTCCTTCTCCTTGTCCCTGCAGCAGACACCAG